GTTTTCCGATACTTTGTTTCTGGTTGGTGATATGTATTATTGGTGGGTGGGTATTGCCTAGGTGTAGTTTGTATAAGGTTTGTGAAACCGTGACCTCGGTGGGGAGTGATATGAAGATTTTCTCGTATTGGTAGTATAGTTCCTGTGAGCAGATTGGAGTTCTCATCTAGGTATGTGTTTGTGGTGGGTATTATATTCAAGAGCAATGGCTATACCTCCCCTGGCTGTAACCAACAGCCTGCATGAAGAAAAAAAACCAAAAGGTTTCACTTTCAATCAGAGGTTAACTTGCTTTAGACATTTTTATATCCTTCTGTGTAAATTGATTTGCACTTCAATCACACACAGGAGGCTCCCTTGGGGTCTAGCACGCTATTAACAGAGCAGGAGATAAGACATTCTAAATTAAACAGAATTTGCAATAAAGGAAGTTTAAACATTTGATCTCACTTTACAGTAAGTGTTAAGGAAGGCAGTTACATGCAAGGAAGTGATTAAATTCCTATATGGCCATGAATTGAGCAGTGAGATTGCATGGACTTGATTGATATACCAAAAGAGCGTCATACAGCTAAAGTTGTTTTGGTGATTATAATGTCCCTTTAAATAAAACCTGTCAAAATGCTCAAAGTTAATTTACCTGATGGGTATTACTTTCTCAAAATATGTTTGGGTAGCGTTTTTGGATGCTTACATATAGTTACATAGGTTAAAAAAAGAGACGTGTGTCCATCAAGGTAAGCCTTTATTGCATTTGTTTTTGCAGTTGATTAAAAAGGCAAACAATCCAGTTTGAAGCACTTCCAATATTGCAACAAACTAAGAAAATTCCTTCATGGCAGTCAGTTTTATCTTTAGATCAAGAAGCTATTATCCCACACATTAAAAATTATATCCCTGAATTATGTTTTTGCAAGTATGCATCCAGTTGCTGTTTAAACATCTGTATAGACTCTGATAAAACCACTTCTTCAGGCAGAGAATTCCACATCCTTATTTTTACTGTAAAAGAAAACAAAAAAAACAAAAAAAACATTTTCCTTTGCCTTAGACTAAATTTCCTTTCGCCCAGTCTAAATTTGTGACCTTGTGTCTTATTTATTGTCCTGTTTATAAATTGATTTCCAGACAATAGTTTGTATTGCCTCCAAACGTATTTGTATAATGCTATCTTATCTCCTTAGAGGTGCCATTTTTTTTAAACTAAATTAGTTTAAATGTGTTAACTTCTTCATAACTAAGCTATGCCATTCCTTTTATTTAGTTTGTATCCCTTCTCTGCAATTTTTCGAGTGTGGCAATATCCTACTTTAGAACAGGTGCCCAAAATTGCACAGCATATTTAAGGTGTGGTCTTACCAGTGATTTATAAAAAGGGAAAACTATATTTTCATCCAGAGAATTAAAGCCCCTTTCTATACATGATGATACCTTACTGGCCCATACCACTGCTGATTGACATTGCACATTGTTGCCTAGTTTGTAGTCTATAACAAATCCCTAATGCTTATTTTAAGATCATTTAAATATGTTGAATAGAAAGGGTCCCAGAACAGAACCCTGAGGGACACCACTTACCACTTCAGTCCAGTTTGAAAATGTACCATTAATGACAACTCTACTATAACTCTACTATATTTTAAGCCAATGTTCTACCAATTTATTTTAGTTTAGTTTGAACACCAACCTATTGTGTGGAACCATATCAAACACCTTGTGTATCTAAAATTTCCAAGTAGATCATACCTACTGCACCACCCCGAACTATACTTCTACTTTAGAAAATGCAATTAAATTAGTTTGACATGACCTATGTTTCGTAAAACCATGCTGACAATTGCCTATAATGTTGTTCTCATTGAATTCCTGAATATCATCTCTTAGTAACCTTTTGAATACATTTCCAGCCACACTAGTTAAGCATACAAGTCTATAATTTCAGGCAAGAATGTTAAAACATTTTTGAATATAGGAACCACATCTGCCTCCCTCCAATCTTCCGGAACAATTTCTGAAAGAAAATAATGAAAGAATAAAAACAGAGGTTCACTTATTTCCACACTTGGCTCCTTAAGTACTCGTGGGTGAATAACGTCAGGCCCTGGAGCTTTATTTACATGAACTCTTTAGTTGCTGCAGTACCTTATTTTGTGTCATCGAATCACAAGTTTTCTGCAAGTTTTTTGCAGCAATCATTTTCATATCTTTAGCCATGGGTTCTTCCTTAATATATACTGAGGAGGAATAGTTATTTAAAATGTCTGCCTTCTCCTGGTCTTCATTAATTAACACCTCCATCCTGGTTTTCAGTGTACCTACATTTTTTTTTTTAGAATTTAGGTATTTAAATGTTTTTGGGTTGGTTTTGCTCCATTTGGTTATCACTTTATCATTTTCTGTTTTATTGCATGCATTATTGGCTTCCTTATATTTTATATAGTATACCTCTGATTTGTCTGATTTAAATGCCATTTTCTTTTTTTTAATCTCTTGGTTTACTTTCCTACCAAGCCACATTGGTTTCAGTTTGTTTATTTTATATTTATTACCCAATGGTACATACTGAGAAACGTATCTTTCTAATATTTGTTTGAAGATATTCTATTTATCCTCAGTGTTTTTTCACTAAAGAGTTTATGCTGGTCACTATCTTGTAAAGCTGCCGTTATCTTACTGAAACTAGCCTTTTTAAAATGACATGTTTTAGTATACCACATGTGTTTTGCTTTTTTGAGTTTATTTCAAAATACATATTGTGATCACTATTTCCCAAATGCTCCCCTGCTTGAAAGTTGGTTAAAAGATCAACAATGTTTACTATAATAAGATCCAGACAAGCGTCCTTTCTAGTTGGTGCTTGTACCAGTTGTGACATAAAGATGTCATTTAACACGTTCAGAAACCGGATTCCCCTTGCTAAACTATTAGTCCCTCTATCTCAATTTATGCAAAGATAATTAAAATCTCCAATAATTAACGTGTTACCCAAATTTGTAGCGTTCCCAGTTTGAAGAACAGCTGTTCTTCCTCATCAATATTAGCATTAGGTGGTTTATAACATATCCCAACCAATAATTCGTTTCCCTTCTTTCCCCCCAAGCAGATATCTACCCATAAAGCTTCCACATTTTCCTCATCACATTCCACTTGCTTGAGATTTGGCTTTAACCCACTCTGTGACTATTGTTTAATGTTATAGTCTCAGCACGCAAAATTTGGAAAAGTTTTAGGTTCAGTTTGAAACGCATAATATCTTATTGGGTATTTTAACAATTGAAAATGCATCGTTTTTTTTAATTTAATTATTAGTTTTTTCCAATTTTTGAATACAGCTAGTTTACACATTATTACAGGCAAAAATGAAGGAAAAAAACCCAAAACATTTTATTTCACATTTTCCATAATTAGTGTTTTGTTAAAAGGACACTATAGTCACCAGTACTGAATTTACTGAATTTGTTCTGGTGAGTAGAATCATTACCGTCAGGATTTTTGCTGTAAACACTGTCTTTTCAGAGAAAATGCAGTATTTACATTACAGCCTAGTGATAACGTCACTGGCCACTCCTCAGATGGCTGTTAGAGATCCTTCCTGGGTCATGGCTGCCTAAAATGCATCCAAACATTCAGTATCTCCTCCCTCTGCATGCAGACACTGAACTTTCCTCATAGAGATTCATTGATTCAATTCATCTCTATGAGGAGATGCTGATTGGCCAGGGCTGTGTTTGAATCATGCTGGCTCTGCCCCTGATCTGCCTCCTTGTCAGTCTCAGCCAATCCTATGGGGAAGCATTGTGATTGGATCAGGCTACCACTTCTGATGTCAGCAGACAGCTGTTTTCTGAGGCAAACAGCATGCAGATCTACAGCTTCAGGCTTGAATACAGTAAGATTGTGCTATATTTATGGAGGCATGAGGGACCCAGGGGGGCTAGATGGTGGTTTTAACACTATAGGGTCAGGAATACATGTTTGTGTTCCTGACCCTATAGTGATCCTTTAAGTAAACAACTGGGCTATGAGAAGAAAGTTCTATCCTATTCTACTTTAAACAGTGTTATATATATATATATATATATATATATATATATATAATGTGCAGAGGAAGAGTTAAATTATGTTAGAATAAACACAAAACAAAAGAGCTTGGGCACAATTACACGGAATCTTGGAAAACCATCTGTCAAAGAGACTTAGCACAGCCACATAATGCAAAGGTAACCCAATTCTACTTACCGGAAAAACTTGTTGGTGTTGGTCTTTCCAATGCTGTAGTTAAAATTTGATTCAGTTTACATCCCTGGACATCCACAGCCAAACAACCATGAAAATTACTAAGCCATACCAATGCATACCAGTAATGGGCAGTCAGCTGACAATTATACAATGACTGCTGTCCCTCCTGCTCTGGTTAATGCTTTGTCTTAGGCCTATGCAACTGAGGGGATAATCTACCTAGGGCTCTTGTTTAACATTAAACCATTTGAAAACAGATTAACACTTAATAGAAGTATGGCACCAGGGGACTCTAAGCACTCTAATTTCCGCGAGATTAAGCAGTTACATTGCCTAGAGCAGAGGTATGCAACTTTTGGAACTCCACAAGTTATGTACTACATCTCCCGTGATGCTTTGCCAACTTTATGGCTGTACGATCATTCTGCGAGATGTAGTCAACATCTTGAGTGCCGAAGGTTACCTACCCCTGGGGTTGAGTGTCCCTTTAGGTAAATAAATAGGGTGATGTGCCACCTAAAAACATTTTAAATAATGTTTGGGGGTGAGCTGCTGAAATCAAATAAGTGAAAATAAGAGTGTTTTTTAACCCTTGATTGGGGTGATAGAGGGACACTGTTTCTTCAAGTTTATTTGGCATCTCAGAACTCCACAGCTTACCCTCGCTCTCCTCCATCCATCCAAGCAAGATGGACCCATTTCCCCATCGCCGACTCAACCATAAAACATTTGCGATTTCAACAAAATATTAAAGACATGTATGTTGATCTAGTTTTATTTTTATTTGAAAAGAAAATACTTGATATTGTTTGCTTTTCATTTTACATATAATTCACATTTCCACTGTGAGACTTATTTTCACTTTTTAAATTATCTATTTTACAATACAAAAAAAAGAAAAGAAAAAAAAAGACAAACAAAATAAACCATTCCCCCCCAAAAAATTGCAGGTTCAATATTACGAATGCTTTCCCCCAAGCCCGAAATCCAGTATCAGAGAAAATGTTTACAATACTTAAATATATACAAATGAGTGCAATCAATGCTTAATTATTCCTATTAAATTGTTTTAGGTTGAAACACTGATGAATATCATAAATGTGGCAGAAAATGAGTAATTTAGAAGCTTGCTAAATATGAAATATATATTTTCTAATTCCGAAATCCGAATTCACCTTTTTAAGCCAAGACAACGATAAAATCATTTTTGATGATCTGCTAGAGTGCAGGAAACTTGGAAGACAAATATATCTCTACATTGATATGTAACGAAACAAATATATTTCATAGCAGACGTGTATGAAATTAGCAATATAAAATATAAACTTCAATTTTTTTATTAAAAGAAAATGATCATTATTACAGAAAAAGAAAGCATTTTGTGTAAGATAACATCATTATGCATTATTTTGGAAAGAATATATTTAGGTTAATTCAGGGTCAGTGCATTTCCTGGATTATCCTTACTATGTGTAGGCCGCTACTCTTTTAATCTTTATGGACAGAAGCACCACTTATCCACTAAAACCAGAATTTAAAGGTCTGAACCAACCTCAGAATGCATTTTAAGATGTCCCTTTAATTTAAAGGTCTGAACCAATCTCAGAATGCATTTTAAGACGTCCCTGTATTTTCTTGTGATTTTAAGATTTATAAAACACACACTCTAGCTCTAATTTAGCTGCATAACCAAAGAGGCTTAGAGATGGCTGAAAATAAAACAGACTATTTTACAGATAATCTGTTATGTTAAATAATAATAATGATGATCATCACAGTCTAAGTAGCTCAGCTGCAATTGGTGACTGTATTTAACAGGTCAACAATACTTGTAGAGGGTAGATGATACCCATTGTACAGTGCTATGGAATTTGCTGGCGCTGTATAAATAATAAAATATTAATAATAATGAAAATACGCAATTTTGAATATTTTTGAATGTTGGCAGTCTTTCACCAAATTAAAAAGCAGTAATTAAATGGCATACAAAAACATCAATTGGAATGATTTTATTTTTTGAAGGCCTGTAAGGAGCATATTAAAAGACTTTCCCCCCCCCCCTGTTTCTTAATACAATAATATAAAAAGCAAATCCTGGTAATAGGTTAAAACTACCATTGGGGCCTCATGACAACATACAGAAAATGGTTATAATACACTGTGAAAAATTTAGCTTACAGTCAAATTTCTATTTTTTTTTTTTTTTACGAGCCATTAAAACATTGAACTAGCGGTGCTACAGTTTTTTCATTGGTTAATTGCTTTTAGAATTTTTATTTAAAAAAAAAAATTGCTTTAAAGTCTCATACACAATTTAACAAACAATATGCTTTCTACATAGAGAGTTATCTAAACAAAATTAATAATGCAGTTAGGATTAAAAAAAAAAACTAAATCTGAATGAATTCCCAAAGTGTTTTTTTTTTCATCTTTTATTCAAAAATATTGAGATTTTAATCTGTTGCAGTTGGATATACAGAGTTTGCGTGCAAATTTTTTTTAACTAAAATCTTAGAAACTTGGAATATACTAGTTTCTAAATAAACGGGAAAGATGTGAAATTTATATTGGCATCAAATCCACTAAATCAGACAATTCAAACATAGAATTGTAAATACAATTTCTGTATGCATATTTTTTTTTTTATAAAATTAGCTTAAACTATGGGTTTATAATTTCTATAAAACTTTGTTATACAAAAGTCTGTTTCGAATTTAAAATAGTTTTTTTTTTAAATTTTGCTTTATCCTTATAATTTATGAGAAAAATATTTTATACACCAATAAGAATTATATAGAAATATTACGTTAACTTCCCAAATTGAAGGTCTTTTATGGTCAGAACTTACAGATAAACTAACTTTAAAGTTACGTAATTCATACAGAGTTTACAGATGTCTTCTAATTAACTTTTTTTTTTTCAAGATCACTATCTGGCATATTTTGTGCTGGCTATTTTTGACTATATTGATTCACTGTTTAACGAATAAAGCATTTAAAACTATTAGATGGAACTGCAAGCATATATACTTCTCTGTAGACACTGAAACTATTTTTGTTATCACTACTATGAGTTTTAAAAATATATACTTTTTATATCATAGAAGCCCATGTATTAAATCTTAACTTTGATAAATTATATTTGTCTCGCTTGTGTGATATTTTTGTGATAGAAATATATGAACATTTTACTACTGAAAATAAATATTGAAATTGACCCATTTAAAATTCTCTGTACATGGATCGCTTAAAAGCTTTAAGAAGAATTGATTAACTGGTATAAAAACATAATTACTTAATCTTTGTGATACATGATCAAAATGATGTAAAGTTCCAAAGCAGTGAAGGTTAATGATATATCTGGACATTTTTTATGTGGCCCCTTCAGGCAAATATAGAACCAAGTTTAAAGGACCAGTCTGGAGTAATTGAACAGAAGTCCATTGATTGGCAGAGATTTATTAAAGCGCTAATATGTACAGAATGATAAAGCTCTAATTACAACTAAAAACAGCCAAAAGGAAAAATATTACTGAAAATGTAAAATCAGAGAGAAAAAGGTTGTGTAAATTAGAACGAACACACACACTCTGAATGGAAATAAACAAAAAAAAAACTAAAGTATTTTAAATGTAGAGCAATGTGTTCAGACATTGTTGTTTTTTTACTCTTTCGTAAAGTCAATATCTTGTGCAGGACATCCCCCAGGAAGGGGAGTAGGTGATAACGAACAAATGAGAATACATGTATTACAGCTATGAAATTAGAATGATGTGTATATATAACTCCTAAACTGGCAACCTTAATTTAGGGCTACTGATGTGGGCATAATGGAAAGGTTCATTAGCTACATTTTTCTGGTGTCTTAGCAACATTCAGAGGTTTATTTGTGTCCGTGGGTAAATTGTTTAAAATTAGAGCATTCTATCTTTATGGAGCGTGTGATAAACACAACTGTGGCACACTATTGGTTAGCCTATAACATAGAGGTGAGACAGGAGCAGTGATAAACCAAAATAAAATATGGGGGTGAAAAATAAACAAAAATGAAAAACACAAATAATTACAATTAAATTTGGAATCAAAATCCCAGAAACTGCTAAAACTAGCAAAACGAAGAGGGGGAGAGGAGGAAAGCAATCCGATGTTTAACCCCTTCTCTCCCAACCTTCAATTGAACCCAATAATCATCACTTCCCCTTTGCTCCAGTTTTTAATCATACTACTTGTATGTGACATAAAATGCTATTTCTGTGTCCATAAATATTTCAGAAGCACTCCAAATACTGTAATCACAAGATAAGGGATACAATATAATCTATGAATTTTCCCCCTCAAATACTTCTAGCTAGCAGATAAACAAACTAGAAATAGCACAGCATAGATTTAGCATTTGGCGAATTTATATTCTATATAAATTGGTCAAGTTATGTAAAATGTATATATAATTTTTTTTCTATGCCCGCACTGCATTCTGTAAACAAAATTGCTGTTTTGACCAACATTTGTGTGCTAATGATTCATAACAGAATGTCTAAGGTTTAATAAAAACACACAAAAAAAATAGATGCCAGAATCAAAACAAGAGTTTAAGAAATGTATTTTTGCTTGACGCCTCTATAACTAACTAGAACTGTATGTGGCAGCTGTATTTTTAACATTTGGCATTTGACACAAATAAAACAAACAAACAAAAAAAATGTTGCTGCAAATTGCTACCTTCTTTAAAGCACTCGTATAAAGGGAACACACAAAACAAACAATAGAAAATACTTACTGCTTTATGCGTTCGATTAGAGAGATATTCACTTCCAGAATTATATGGTACGAACATGTAAATAAAAACATGCACACCAAAAAAAAACCTCACAACGGCGTTATTTAAAAGTAAAGTTATTTTGACAAATTATTTCCTCCCTATTTTATCAATTCTCTAAAGAACCCCAGATTCATTTGATAAAGATGAAAGTGAATGTTCAATACTGTGCAGCAGTGATTAGTAATCTTTGACACTGCACTTTTTTCTAGATTACTATTCTCAACACGCTCAGTCGGCAGTGCCGTAGGCCAGCCATCACAACTCTGTATTATAAACGGTGTGTACAGAAGTTATTCACTAATGTGAGAATTCAAAGTGAATTTTATACCCGACAAAGATTTTCTTTATTTAATTTTTTTCAGTTCAGCTATTTTGCTCTTAAATTTTAAATTGACTTTGAATTCTTATTTTAGTGAATAACCCTGTATGAAGCTGTGATGATGGCTTGATAAAGACACTTAATGTGTCGAAACGTTGTCCGTTCAAAATAATTCAAGAAGATCATTATTGGGCACGCCGATCAGCTATCAGTGTTTCTTCAGCCTCCTTACACGCCTTTTATCCACCCATCTCAATTTCAGAACAGTGATATGTCATTGTGCAGCAGCAGAAGAGAGAAACCTGACACCGGAGCCTGCTCTGCATGATCACACTGATCAGACTCCATTTCTTTTCCCTCTGTCAGATGTTGCAACGTGAAACGATCTAACTGCACATGTGTAAATCTGTCAGAATGCCCAATGCACTTTTCCAGCATTCCTAGGGATAGGACACTGATTGGTTAGATCACAGTCCACCCCTGGAGTGAGTGTGAAAAGCATGACTTTTGTTTCAACCTGCAGAGTGAGGCAACTAAAAGCATGCTGAAGTGTTTGAGATAATTGTCTTAAAGTGATGCACGTGCCCTCTAAGGAAACCCTTACTGTAGACCGAATATAAAAAAATAAAAATAACGTATAGTAAATAATATATAATTGTGTGTTCAGGTGAAATACCATCTTGATGTTGTTACTTCCAAATAATGCATTCCATTTTTTCCCCAGTTCTTCTATACAGATCTTAACTTTGAAACTCACTTTGGTAAATACCACTATATGTTGGCATTGTAATACTGAAGGATCAAGGCCAAATATAGGTTCTAAATTACTTGAGTGGGCACAGCCAACTTCTAAACCACAGAGGTTCTCCTTTACTGCCTGTAGTCTTTACCCTCATCCAACTTTGTAGTTAAGATGCTTATTTTTGAAAAGTAATGAAATTCTATCAGCGGTTTTTCATGAGTCTATCAAGATAATTACGGTTTCAAAGCTCAGTGTATAGATTCCTAACTTTACACTTTTTCTAGAAATGGAATTCTCAGGAGTTACAGCATCTGAAGCCGAACACAGACTTGAAGCCAGCATCTATTGCTGGCCTATATTCAAACTATAAGCAAGATGTAGGGGAATGTATTAGAGACTCCCAGTCAGACATAAGGGAGAAGTCTAATTTACTAATCTGGTGGAATGTGTGTCATGTTGACTGGAGAATGATGCTGGTCACAGGTAAAATGGGATGTGACAAACAAATACTATGTAGAAGCTACAATGTAACAAAACAAGTTTCCTTCTTTCCCTTCGTTTTAATCATACAATGGTTTATAAAAGCAAATGGCAAATCATAAATCATGTGCAAATCTTGACATATAAAAATGGCTCTCGGGAAACGTGGACGAGGAATTAAATATAAGACTGTCAGGCTTTTGGGATGCTTGCCAGACGTATAAAACTCTGATTAGCACGGGTCCAGTGGGGACTGAGAAGGAAAAAAAAAAATACCAGCAGAAAACTTTAAAGAAGTTCACTGTATGTGTCAATAATAAAGTATAAACAATCTACGCAAGAAAGACATTTACAGATAATTCCCCCACACCAAACGTGTTCCGAATAAAACGCGTGCAGTTCAGACACAATATTTATTATCAAACCCTGATAGCTAACAGCACAAGAGATACCGGGTTTGAAAGGTGAACGGGGAGTTCAGAAAACATTAATTTTTCAGCTGCGATTCAATTGAACTGTAGCATCCAAGTGAAATGGTTTCTTTTATGGATCATGGATCGTGTTTTCATTATCTCAATATTCTTCATTAAAGTGGACTACGGCTGGATTTTAATCAAAGCCTCCACATTCAGTGGTCATTAGTCATATGTTGAACTCGTTGGACAGAAGATGTAACTATGTTCTGCACTACCGAACGGGCTGTCAGGAAATTCATTAGTTATGAGTTGGGCATGCATTAGTTTTCCATGTGTATCCCAGTTAAAATATACAATATATGTGAGCACAGCATGTAGGCTGCATATATTAGGTATTTCTTACGTGGAATTGAAGGAACGGAGAAAAGTAGAAATTCGTATTCTCTATAGTTTCTACCGCAGGCTGCCAAGGAATGCTCAGATGTATAATATATTAAGCAGTGATGTATAAAAATCACTTGCAATGTACATAAAAAAGGGAACTTAGCACTTCAATAGAGAATAAATTACATTTTGTAGGCAATCAACCACTATCATAACCGATGCATTTGACCTAGTTGTTCAACAGTTTTGTTTAAAAGTTCAAAGAGCTGATCCGTTTAAATGCCTTTTACGGACGATGTTGATCTGTCAGCTTTGACACCCAATGTAATGCCTCAGATATAAACCCCACCCACCCTAGTGATTCTGTGTATGCATACTGTGTTGCACAGGAGGTGCATGTGCAACACCCAACGGACATCCTAAGCTGTTTCCTAGTGAAAACCACCAAGGCAGTTGCGACATCACAGGAAATGCAAGTTTAAAGGACAAACACAGTCAAGATTTTTCTACTGCATGGTAATAAGGTGTTTTTTTGTTGTCTTCTAAAAAAAATATAAACAGAAAAAGCAAGCATTGCCTTATATTTAATTCTCATCTTCACTTCAAATGTCCTTCCATCAGGGTTCTTCTGTCTACTTGCTTCATGAAACAAGCAGGGGTCCAAGCTGTAAGACATGAGCTCAGGCTGCATTGGGTCACTCAAAGTACACGTTTTCTATGTTCTTAGCTTGCAATGATCTCTGTCACGTTAGACTTCTGTCTTAGGACACCGACATACAGAGATTGTGTGGGAAAAAACAACAAAAAGCTAGATTTCTCTTATACATTAAACAAAATACGATTCACAAAAAAAATAATAAAAATGTTGAAGGTGGTCACATTTTTTTTGGTGAGCCGATGTACCCAATATACCAGTAAAGAAAATAACTTTATGCAGCATTTATCTTTATGAAGGTGGAATGATTCTCTGATGTAAGTGGATTTACTGCACTATAAACAATGTATCGAGAATTAAGCTGCTCAGGCAGTAAGTCAAGCTATGTTTCAATATGATTGTAATCTTTCTTTGCCTGTTGTAGGCAACAATGGTAAATAGTCACTCCTACCATTTGTCTTCACTTGGTGCCCTGACTAAAATCCCTCCAAGCATAAAAATCCTTATACATGGGGGTCAGGTTTAAATCTGACATGCCTAGTGTCAAGAATTAAAGGTCAACTCATCAAATTCACACTTCTTTTTTCTTATGTTAATTACATTTAGTGAAACTTAAAGAGATTTATAAAAAAAAACAAAAAAACAATATATATATATATATGTATCTATCTCAATATGCTTCATTAAGTGGACTATAGCGCTGGATTTTAATCAAGTATTCGGTCTATCAAGAACCTGACCCTTAATCTCCTCAGCCAGATAAAGTTAATTAAAAAAAAAATAAAAGCAATATACAATAATTATAAAATAAAAAATAATAATATATTAACTTGTATTAAAGCGGCTCTGTCATCCTATACTTTGCTTACTTCAAGCTGCTCCTCTTCTCTCTTTCTTCTGTTCTTTTGTTTTTTTTTAAATCTATTTCTCCTAAAACACGTAGGACAAAATAGGGACTACTTTGCCTTATGTATTTTTACACCGCTTGACAAAACTTGATAGTCCTCACTGCTGTCTCTCACACATGTGAGACTAGAACGTGGACATGGGCTTGTGGCAGACAAAGGGGAAAAGCAGGAAGACCATAGCGGTGACCGCGAGGAACAGGTTCAGGTAAGAAAAACCCACCTGCCCTGCACCCTGCGATACCTGTAAACCAAATCACCATTGGAAATTATGCAAAGACTCCAGAAGGTGTCAAGGCTGCTTTAATGTAAAACTTTATTATATATAAAAAAAAGAAGTGAAAGTGTGATGACCATTGTCCTTTAACTACGCAGGGTCGTAGTGGTACAACAACTGAGGAGACACAAACCTTTCATACACTGAACATGAGAATGGCTGCTATTAAGGCTGAGGGGATGATAGTAAGGGTGAGGAGGGCTGAGATTATAACAGTATTCTGTAGTCCATCTGGAGAACTCTGGGATAAATTTACAGGATTTTACGAGCAAAGCGTTCCAGGAGGTTGAGGTTATTTTTCCTAGTTTTATCCTACTTTCAGGCTTATTACTTAACCAATGAATAGACAATGTCATAGAGGTCAATATTTGTTAAATATAGAATTGCGTGAACAGTGAAAGTTAAAAACTACAGCTGCACTTCTATCAGGACCAGCAACATAGTGGAAAAATAAGAACACTACAGGTCAGTCACCAATAGTTACTACAAAACAAAAATCATGAGAATTTACATTTCAAAACCCTCTGCGTTCTATATCACAGTAGGGGTGAATATGCTTAGTTTAGACCTTCAGGCTAAATAGCCTTCTTGCTTTTACCACCAGAATTCAGGGCTCATTAGAAGGAAAGGTATTTAAACGATCAGAAAAACTGCAAAGTGCAAACTAATGTTTCAACTCCAAAGGAAATAAAAAAAATAAAATAAAAAAAACTCGTCTTAAAATGTCTGTTTGAAGAAGTAAAACTCAGAGCAATCCGGTATTCACATAAAAATATAAATAGGCTTCATAAAGTTGTAGTGGGGGGGGCGGGGGGGAGAAGCTACGGTCATTGTAAAAGGATCCAATGTGACCCCCATCTTTAATAAGTTCCTTAACCAAATGAAAGCGAAAATGGTGATTTAACAGAAAAGATACATGGCTATATCCTTTATGATATGGTTTGTTCTTGATACAGAAGCAGGTAAATAAATTCTTTCATTTTTAAATATGAATATCAATCCTGGAACAAATGAGAAATCCTATAAAAATGATACATCAGTATATCAAGAGCACTGATAGAATATGAATAAAAGACGTGAAAATTAAAAAAAAAAAAAAAAAAAAAAAAAAAAAATATATATATATATATATATATATATATATATATATATATATATATCGGTCTTCCAGACACACATAAACAGACAACCATACATCACACAAACACCATAACCAGACATCCATTTACGTTATGTACAATGCGCAGGTTACATTACAGTTAAGCTGGGTTGAATTTAAATAAAATGCAGTGATTTTTGTTATTAGAATTGGTTTTGCGCCATCAAAAAACCCTTTCTCTACCCTTTGTTCTCATCGTAGAGTATTCCCACTTTTGGTCCAAAATACTGTTGTACATTTGTAGCTCATCTATTAGCCTTCTGTAGAAAACGGACATCAATCACACACCTCTGCTCTGAGCCCATAAAGATAGGTTAGCATGGCCAAAGAACATTAAAGGAGAGTCATGATTAGCTTAATCACTTTCTGGTTAGGTGAGAGCTCACCTAATAGCCTTCACTGCTTTGGAATTAACAGGAAAATCAGGCAGGAATTTCAAATGTAAATATATTTTTAATTTACTGCTTTTTTTTTTGCATAATTGAATGTGCACAATATACTATGTATTAAAGAATTGGTCAACTAGAGCCTCGATTGTTAAACATAGCTGGTAGCAGGTATATATTCCTAAAAGTAGGGATATGATTCTTGCTCGGGTCACTGAAATTCAGTTTTAATATCTAAACGAATAATAGTAAATATCTCACAGATAAGGCAAAGTCTTTTAATAATGGTAGACAAATCCAGTTGCAGATGGGAGCTTCTCAACACTGGCCTAATGAGTATATATTGGGTTTTCCTCTCCCCAATATGGTAAATAGTAAGTATGCTGTATAGAGAACACATGTAAAGCATAACCGCGGACCGATTTACCTTCTACCCTACGAATTGAATGCAAAAGAAACTTTAGATAGGATTCTAGAAGAAACGTTAAAAAACAAAAAACAGGCAAAGTCTACAGTAATTTTAATCTATTAAAAAAAAAAAAAAGACATTGTTTCATCAAGCGCAGTGATGAATTACATGTAAAACAATTACCAGCATACTGCTATAGAAAGCGTTTTTCATTGCTGCCATGGGGGGTATTGCTTTTTATTACAGTCCTGGGAAAGAATTCAGATTAGCCGAATTAGGGCTCTGTACATTATTGGTGGATTGCCACCTCAATCTAGAGAAATCACAAATACCATTACAACGTACAATTCATTAGGAGATATATATATATATATATATCTGATTCCAGGCGTTTGACAGTAATTTGTATCAAGAGTATAAAACATTCATTTTTGAAGGGATAGCCAAGGTGAAATGCAAAAAGAAAAACAAAAATGTAACTCTTTTATTCCTCCGACTTCATGGAGGATAATTAAAAGTAGGTCAAATCAGTTGGGTTGCAGATTATCACGTTTTAAAAGAAGGGTACAGGAGCCGTTGCTGAACTAAAATTCCCATCATCATCTGCCAGATATTTCACATGATACACTGGCTAATGGAGAAACCAAGGAGATGCAGTTAAGTTAACGGAACACTTTTGTAGCAGTCCAACTCGTTCCCACTAGCTTGTCTTAAACTACAACTCCCGTAAAGCTCAGTGAGCTATGGACTGGCTCACTGGGCATTAAAGACTGCTGTTTGGTAGACAGTGTTCAAAATTCTCCATCAACCCTGCAAATCCTTTATCGAGATGGTAAGCAAGAAAAATGAATACAACATACAAACAAAACAGAACGATGATGACAGTACAATACAAAGGTAAGGACTGAGTGAATTTTTCATGTGGAAATATGAACTTGGTTGCAACAAAAATGAAAGAAAAAAATGGACAGCAAAAGGACATGTTTGGCACTCTGCTAACAAACACTGTACACGCATACAAACATGTATTGTTTTGTTGGAGTTATCAAATATTTCTCAACTAATCATGATGGGGCTAATTGTTGAACTTATTCAAGACACATTTGTAATGTCCAGTTCCATTGTCAGACACTATGGAAGCTTACTGGAGACGGTGTATAAAGATGTATACAAAATACGCAGTGTTAATGGCTATGTGTAAGCCATTTTGAGTTGTCTGCCTCGCTCAATAGTAAAAGTAGATTTAACAATGAGAAGATCATTATTCAATCGCTCAGCAGGGATTATATACACCATGAACCCAGTTATTTAGAAAACACATTTATTTTCAAAGGGGTAATGCAGTCTTGATTTTGTGTAATTTCGTTAGCACCTTGTCGTGTACACCTCACCATTGGCTACAGATGTAATTTTTCCATCCGTAAGGACCAAGTCATGAACAATGGTCCATTTGAAGGGCGTCTCCCTTTAACTTAGATATGGTAATTCTACATAAGAGCAACCAACACGGACCAGGTCCCTACACACTAGTCACTTGCAACCTTGAGAAAACTTGTTAAAAACTATTATATACTTAAGTCCATTAATATCTGCAGGAATGTGATGTGCTTTTTTGTTTTCTTATTTTACTTGCATGAACGAAAAAAAAAAAACCATTAAATTAATTTACATTTCTTTATGAAAGCTAGCAATGTCCCCTTAATGATAACAGCATTTGATGTCTCCCTCCGGTATGGTGGCCTTGTTAAACAATTAGCCTATTGGACATGAAACTTTAATGTCTCTTACTCCACTAGTGAATACTTGTCCTGGATAGGTTCTTCAGTTCGATTTGAAAGAGACTTGTATTTTCTGCAAAAGCATAAATACTGAAGATGCGGCTGACCATCAGCGTAGTTCCTCAGCCCAACAGAAACCCCAAAATAAAGGTAGATCATCAGAGCGTTATGACGTTCTGCTGTTAACCACAGTGTAAGTTCTCGGACATCAGATTTTTACAAAACGGTATTGGTGGGAAACGTATGTCATTCACCGGTTCCCGGATAATGTCAGCATAAAGTTGAGCATTTTCAGTTCAAATAGATAAATAATGTCAGACTTATTTTTTTTTTTTTACAGTCAGGTATTCAAGTTGGAATCTCAGTCTATTCAAAGTCTGAGGACACACAAAGCGTGTCCTGACGTTAAAGAATGGAAGAGCAGCAGTCCATAATTCATTAACCCTTAACATGAGCTTGGGTTGAGGCACCATACAGTTCCTTTACATAAAATAAGTTAGATTCTTACCATATCTCCTTGAGATGAAAATTTTATATGAGAAATTAACAAAAAAAAAAAAAGTCATCTGAAATGAATCTCCGTAGAATGGATTTTCACGTGATCTCAATTAGATCCATGCGCACACAGAAGGTGGTCAGATGAGAAAACTTGGAAGGTATTCATCATAATCCACAGTGTCTCTTCGTCCCACATAAACGGACGTTATTACTCCAACATAGTAATATTCAAATCCCTAGAGTTCAGAAATCCTACATCAAATGCAAGTTCCGGGCTGTGCTGGGGGCTGGTGTTTCCTGTTTCGGATGGCTCCAGATTTCTCTTTGTACGCTAAAGGCATTTGTTGTGAAATGTCCACCAGAGCACTGGCCACAGCTAGACCTAATAAGAATAAAATATGTATGAAAACAAATACATTGTCCCCTTTGGCCAATTTACTCCATAAATTGTGCTACGGATATTGCCAACACATGTATAGATTATACGTACAAGATCAGGATCAATGACATTGCATAATGCATGCACAGCCAAAGTCTAAAGTACTAATCTTCATTTTGAGATATAATTTGCTAATAATTTTGCAACAAGTCACTTCATAATAGTTCAATATATATAAAGGTCCGACATATCACATTTGCATTACAGCCATACTTTAAAGAGACACTCCGAGCACAATACAACTTTAACGTGTTCGATATGTTTAAATACGCAGTACTTTTTTTTGCATGCTCAAATCTTTATAGTTTTTCAGAAAAAAAAAAAAAACTTTTTTTGCAGAATGCTACACCATAACCCTGCCTACTTAGCCACACCCCCTTACTCCAAGAAAATACTTCCTTATCAAATGTATGTACACAGCTCAGCCACCGACAGTACTGAATGATCTAAACTACAAACCAACCAACCTGCATTAGAAGGAGAGCACACCAAGAGAGACATATAGTAAGGACATCACTACGGGTCTATAGTTTCTTTGACTGACTGCGGCCAGGTTGTGAACTTAAAAGCAGCTCAAGCAGTGCTGTTGCGGGCTGAGACTGTGTGCATACATTTGATATTAAAAATAAAAAGCCTTTCTAACATGAGGGGTAGGAGCTGAGTAAGCAGGCTTGTGGTGCAGCATGTTCCTGCTGCTCGGTCTTAACTGCTTCAAGTAATAGGTTACGGAAATACTCTACCGCGATCACTTGGCAACAGTCCTGAAATGTCACCTGGTATGAAAGGGTTAAGGTAGCACCACTTGAAGAAAAAACAAAACAAATGCATTTAATAAATCTCTACCACTTTTATCAAGTTTCTAGTTTTGCCCACTGTATTTTATTATGCTTTTTGGTTTAATGTTCAAATATGCTCTGCATATAAAAATCAGTGAAGGGTGAAATGGAGTCATGGCATTAAATCTTACAGGGAATTGCAAGGTTGCAGGGGGTCACACGGGGTCCTCTACAATGTTCTATGTTTCTAAACATGAGGTGGAATTGGCTTCAGGCTCAGGCTGCTCCAGAACAAGGCTTATTTTAACCCGAACTTCCAAAGAACTTGTTTCTCTGACTTGCACCAACTACTAATAAAGATGAGCTTGGTTTCTGCCCTGGCCATTCATTCTCTGTCTCCAATTACACACACAAAAAAAGTAATACTCTAATTTGGGACTGCAGCTGGACATCGTAAAGAGAAAGCTGGGGTGAGACAAGTCCAAATCACCTCCATGCAGAAACATTAAGGGGGGGGGGGGCAATCATTTTCTTGAACCTTTTTCCCCCCAAAATTTCTATGCCTCA